CCCCCTAACTCCCCAACTCCCTCTCCCGGTCCCGACTCCCCCACCTTTCTCCCCAACTGCGAGCCTTCCCCGACTCCCCCGACTACCCGCCGATCTCGATCCCGCGCCCCTACCCCGACACCAACCGGGATCCCCTTCCCGCGACAGTCCCCCATCCGCGGTGCGGTACCTTCTACCCCCCCCCATTTTAACCCTACCTACTACGCTACTACCCAATCAATCATAGTCAATCATAGATAGGAACGCTCTGCCCTCGATTTACTTCATTAGTCATTTATTCCTTTTTTTTTTTTTTTCCAAAATTCATTTGACATTCTTGTAATTCGAAAATACTTTGGAATTAACTAATTACTTTTTCGACATTTCTTTTTCAAATTTCGAAAATATTTTATTTTATTTTATTTCAAAAACTTTGAAAATATGTAGAATCAATTATTCTTTTTCGGCATGTCTTCCTCGAAATTCGAAAATAATACAAGGAAAATGAGCAACAGCGAGATGACAATATCCAAAATACACAATCACATTGAAGGCCAGATAGTATCACAACGTCCAGAAAGCAGCATTGCACCAATATGACACCAATGGAGAATCGTAATGCAAGGATCCCGACTGTTCATCACTTGCTGGAGTGCAACAGATAACATGCATATACACTGATTTCACAGATTGCAAAGTCTCACACAAAATCCAATAGAAGATGAATGAGAACCAGGAAGCTCAACTCAACTATCAAACCCAGATTTAGAGTGAGAACATAGTGAGTTCAAAGTATATAGCGCTGAACAGAGTTACAAGTCTTCTTTCGATCAACATGAGTTCCAAGCCTGGCGCTCATCAGCACCAGCTGCCAAATGTCAACAACAGCGGTCAACAGGTAAGTGCCACCATAGCTCACACTTCCCCCTCTCTCGTCCGCCTTCTTCTCTCTCCCTCTATGTCTATTGTCCTGGTCTACTCTCAATCATCATGCATGCACACTCGCTATCACACGAGGATCTACTCTGAATACTACTCACTGGTATCTCCTACTGACTATCCCTACTAATGTACTAACTAGCGCTGGCGCAGCTATGGCTGCCTTCCCTCTAGCCAGCACTCTCTTCCTTCCCACATAGCGCTGCTCTTCAGCCTAGTGCAGCTCACACACATCCAGCGCACAAGTGCCACGACACTTCCACACTCTGAAGGGAGCATCTGTCCAAATGGGAGGCTGGCCAGTCCTTTATAGTGCTGGACTGGTCTGGCGTGGCCTGGATTCAGCCTCAAATGTGCCTGGGACTCCTGCCCAGTACCGATTGTTGCAAAGTGTGTGTCCCATGGTCTGCTGCTGCTTTGGGCCATCGGGCCTGTCTTTTGGACTCCTGGTCTGAATCAGGACTGACTCGTGGGATTATGACTGGACTGGGACTGTAGCCTTTGACTCATTGTCGAACAGACGTGTCTTTTCATCGAGGAGACATGACCCTAACTCAGTCTTGAAAATTGTGTCCAATACCTGTTCGTTCAGGACCTGTGGTGACCTTTCAAAATGACTTTCCACTTCATTATGGATGTGACTTTTACCTCAGGAACTTCGTCTTTTGAGTTGCTGCTCGTGAAGTTAAGTTCTGGCCGACAGGGCCCCTTGCTATTGGGGCATCCATTTGGGGTCTGATTCGTAAAGGCCCTTTTACTCCCGCCCTTTTACTCCCGCCGGCCTAATTTCAAAGTCCCCTGAGAAAGTTCTTACCTATCCACAATATTAATTCCTCTTCTCACTCTTTCATAAGCAGATACAATGTGCGGTGCTGATTCAATTAGTTCTTCCCTACTTAACCAGCGGTCTTCACTTGGATCTTGATAGGCAAATCTGACTTTATATTGCCGCTGAGGTCTACCTCTGCGTCCAGTCTGAATAGTACTTTCAGCAACAATCTTATCAACATCAAATTTTCCATCCATGCTTGGAGGAATTACTGACCTCCGACTGGGAAACAGTTCATTAGTTACACACGGTAAGAGCTTTGACGCATGAAACATCGGATACGTATGTAGGTGTAGAGGAATCTCAATAATGTAGGATGGTCCGTCCATGTTTCCTATCACATCCAATACTTGCCATGGTCCTCTGTAGGCGGGTAGCAACTTTTGAGAGATGTTATCTTCTGGGATAAACTCTTTAGATTTAACCCATACCAGATCGCCTACAGTAAACTGAGAAGGTCTTCTGTGTTTATTTGCCCGTTCAATCATCTGATGTTGAGTTTTGACTAGTTCTCTTTTACTTTTTCTAGATCCCTTTGGTATTGCATTGCGACTTCTCGCGTTCCCAACGGAAGTTTGTGTACTTGATTCGGATTCAAACAATCTATAGGTCTGCGGGGACGCCATCCCAGATTCAACTCCATTGGGGTTCTGCAAGTAGATAGTGTACGCAGTTATTACAGGCACTAGCAACTTTGGGCAAATGCTCATCCCAGTCAATCTGGTCAGGACGAATGTACATACACAGTGTCTGGTGCAGAATCTTGTTCATTTGCTCAGTTTGCCCATTCGTCTCAGTATGCCGCCCTGACGACATTGTCAATTTAGAGCCATAAACATTCATCAGTTGCTGCCATTGTTCACTTGTGAACCGTGAGTCTCTGTCACTAACGATAGTCAAGGGATGTCCATAATCTTTCACCCAGTGATTAAAGAATTCCCGAATTACCAGGTCAGTTCTAGCTTCCGAAGGTAATGCCACAAAGACAGCAAATTTACTAAATTTGTTAACAATCACCATAACTTGGGTTTTCTTGTTCCTGCTTTTCACCTTTGTGTCCATAAAATCGATGGACAAAGAGTCTCCTGGACCTGTTGGAATAGGGAAAGGCTTAAGGAGACCAAGGGGAGGCTGTGTGGTGCTCTTGTTTCGTTGGCACACTTGACAGCCTTTGCACATATGAGATGCAATCGGGCTTCATTCGAGGGCAGGTGTAAGAACGCAAGAGGTTAGCATATATATGTTTTCCTCCACCCGAAATGGCCTTCCGTATCATGGCACTCCCCCAAGATCACACTTTTAGTCTCTTCCACGTCTGGAATACAAAGCCTATCATGCACGTCTGTTCTTTCAAACATCAGTCCTTGGGTTATTCGATAGTTAGAAAACTCTTGTGGCGCTTCTTGAACACGTTTTAGCATAGCGCCATAAACAAGATCAGTGGAATAAGCATCCATAATCTTATCTTGTAAATCGGTGNTAGCGCCATAAACAAGATCAGTGGAATAAGCATCCATAATCTTATCTTGTAAATCGGTGCCTACATCTAAATATGTTACAATAGCACCGAAGAAATCAGATCTTCGACTCAGTGCGTCAACAACAACGTTATACTTACCCTTTACTGGCTTTAGTTCAAAGTCATACTGATCGATCTCTGCAGCCCACCTAGTCAGTTTAGGTGTCATTCGGATCTGCGTTTTTAGCCAGCGAAGTGTCTCATGATCTGGGTACACTTTGAAGTGGCGACCTAGGAGATAATGACGCCAATGATCCAAAGCTTCCCGGAGTGTGTATAGCTCTCTTTCATATGTGGAAGCGACGACCTTCTCACTAGGCAGTCATCGGGACATAAACGCAATAGGCTTGTATCCATTTCCGTCATCTTGCTGGAGTATAGCGCCTATCCTGTACTGACTGGCGTTGGTAGTAACAACAAAGGGCAAAGAAGGATCTGCAACCTTCAAAACCAGATAGTCAATCAAACATTTCTTAAGACGCTTAAACGAACACGTACAATCTTGTTCCCACTTCCAGATAGTTTCCTTCTTCAAGAGTGTGCGAAGGGGAGCAGCAATTATTGTAAAGTGTTTTACGAATTTTCGATAGTAGTTAGCCAATTCAAGGAACGATCGTAGTTTCGTCAATATACGTGGAGTGGGCCAATCTCAAATAGCTGCAATTTTTGCATTTTCCGGTTTGATACCGTCTCCGTCTATAACGTGCCCCAAATACAACACCTGACGCTTGGCCCACTCACACTTCTTCGGGTTCAATTTCAGGTTTGCCTCACGCAACTTATTTAGCACAAGTCGAAGGTGCTCACAATGCTCACTCAGACTTATACTAAAAATCAAGATATCATCTTAGATATATAACAATGAATTTATCAAGTTATTCACAAAAAAGTTCATTCATCGTCAGCTGGAAAGTTGCAGGTGCATTAGTAAGACCAAAGGGCAACACAATGAACTCATAGTGCCCATACCTAGTACGAAAGGCAGTGTTATATTGGTCTTCTGGCTCTCCCTCAATCTGTTGGTAGCCAGACTTCAGGTCAATTTTCATAAAGTATCTGCTCCCTTGAACTCGATCCAACAAATCATCGATTCTAGGTAATGGCTCAACATTTTTAACTGTTATATCGTTCAACCTTCTATAGTCAATACACATGCGTACGCCGCCTGTTACGGACTCCACCAGGGCTTGATCCCTGGTCTATCTTTTTGCTGTTTCGGCTGCATCCCGTTTTCGGCCTGGCACCCTTTTTCCAGACCCTTCCTTTGGTACCGTAGGATTTTGGACAACTGGCGCCATGCTGCGATTCGGGCGCCACTTTCAAATACCGCATTTTTAAGTTCTCCCCTCGCGGCCTTTGCAGAAATGCCCCTGGTACCGTACGTGTCACCGGTACTTGTATCGGCTCCCTGTACGGTACGGGGACCAATCTCGTACCAGTTTCCTGCTGTACTCGTACTCAGTGTGACTTGCTTCGACATGGTGTTCGGAAATCCAAGACTTCGACTTTGCGACTTTGACACTTCGTGTCTTAGTCCGTCGAGTCGTGTCGAGTTTGCGCCGGGTTGAGTGAGTGTGTGTGTGTGTGCTCTCACTCTCTCCCTCTCTCTCCCTGCCTCGTTGCCTCAACCCCGTCACACTGGTATCGGAGCAGTTCGAACCCGCCCGACCCATCCTGCTTCGTCGTCACCACCTGGCCATCATCAGCATCATCATCGTCATCGTCATCGTAGCACCACGTCATCGTCGTGACCGTCGCTGTCGTGCCACGTCATCATCGTCACCGTCTCGCTCGTCGTCGTCATGCCACGTCGCCATCGCCGTGCCCGTCGTCCTCGTCGCCTCGTCGTGCCGTTCTCGACATCGTCGTTGCCACCGCGCATATAAGTAATCGACGACAATTTTCTTTCTATTATTTTTATTCTTTTCTTCTTCTTCTTCTTCTTCTTCGCGACTCCGATCCCGCTCCCGCGCAACCTCCCCTCCCCGACTCTCGATCTTCCTCCCACCCCCCCCGGCGCATTTTCCCCCCTGACACCCGACTTTCCCCCGCGCTATCTTCCGCGGAACCCGACTCCCGACGCCCTTCACCCCCCCCTCCCCGACTCCCGACGATCTTCTCCGCTCCCCGCTCCCCTGTGCTCCCCCGATTCCCTCGCTACCCC